TGTTCTCTCTAAGATAAGAAGTAGCTGAGTGAGGGGTGAATCAATATAAAAGATTCAATACTCTAAATGAGAGAGTATTGAGAGATATTAGTTCAACAGGTGCAAACACATCCTCCAACACATAGATGTCTTAGTAGAAATCTATCATAAATTCAAAAAAATGGATAATACTTTCAAAACATTGAGTTCACTCTTCTCTCTCTCTCTCTCTCTCTCACTCTCTCTCTCTCTATGTCTAACAAATTATTGTTACTTTTGATCTCAAGTGAAGTGAAGTAAACATATAAACTATGCTTTTTTTCAAGATAGGGATGTAGGACTTCCAATGCATAATATATTTTCTCAATTCTTTTTTCAACTCTTCTCTAGTTAACTCTACCACGAAAGCTTCACCCATGTGTTCCTAATCTATGATTTCCTTTCAGCATTTGATGGACTAAGTTGAAATATTCCCGACTGTGTAGGTCAACCCCAATTTAAAACGTGTGTTTGCACAAACTATGATGGGGATCAACACCCAAGTGAAGAAATGTTCGCTCCTAGGGGAGCTCAACAGTCACACCATCTTAACCCCTAACACATAAATTCTATTGGACATCACTGCTGAGGTTGGATAGTGGATTTGAAGGCCTGTGAGATCCCTAGGGAGGGGGAAAATAAGCATGGAGGAAGATATATCTTCGAGTAAATAAGATGATATTCCATTTTGTTATTCTTTTGGGGAATCCATACAGCGGAAAATATGAGCATTCACGGGCTAGGTCCAGAAATGGAACCCTGACCGGGCCCAGCCCATTGACAAGCGATCAAATATACCTCTGGACTGGATTCATGGAGCCGTCAATGGACCGGGTCTGGGATAAAAAGCCCGGAAATTTCAATGGGCCCGCCCCGAAAATCCCGCCTCGCCCCCCGTTGGCTCCGCTTCCCACGGGAGAACGTTCGTCGAGCGGTTTTCCCGCCCACACAGATTGACCGGTACACTGACTGATCCACCGGTTCACCTCCTGATATCGGTTCGGATCCAATCCACAATGCATCCGAAAATGCTTTTTAGCGAGGGCGGGGGTAACACCGGGTCTCCAACGGCGAACACGGGCTACAGCGCTGACACGCTTGACATCTGGCGGATTCGGCGGGCATATCGGCACGTTGTTCATGCTATGCCACGTGCCTTCTAGAAGCAGGCTGTTGGGCAAAACGCTTGAATACCAACCTCTTTTAAGTACTTTACTTAGACAAAACGCGGTATTAAAAGTTAATTCCATTTTTAACCCGCATCAAATTTTACCCTCTAACATATATATATGATAGATATGTCCCGTAGACATGGGGCCTTCAAAGAGGATCGATCGTAATAAAGTATGCATATATATCCACACACAGATTCTTAGGAATAACCCAAACCTAAATTTTTTCTGGAAATTATTATTCTTCCCAGCTTCGCCATGATATTTTGATGTAGTGAGATTCCATTAAATAGAAGATAATTTCTATATTTTATATATGGATAGAAATGCAAGAAAATTATTGTCCTGGGATGCTGGTTATAAATGGTTACATTAGAAGGGCAAATTTGCAATAAGGGAATAAAAGACCCTCTAGGCCTATCCTGTAGTAATCTCCTTTTCCTAAACCAGTGGAACCTCCTCAAAGTGAAAGGGTTGGTGTCCATTTTTTTCTTTTTCTCAAATTCAAAATATATTTACATGGGCTTGATGACAATAAAACATAGAAGACAAGGAGTGGACTAAAATAATGTAATAAAGTATCCATATAATCTCACAATTTTTTGTGGGCCCATTTGTTCATTGAGAACCCATAGTGGCATGCTTAGAATATCCAACTAGCTTATTGTGGTTAGCGACAAATAAATAAATATATTTTTTTAATCCATGTATATTTTGTCACACAAAAATGCATTTATTTTTTTATTAAAATTAAGTCCAAAATTTTCATTTATTTTCTTACCTCAATTATTTTTTTTCAAAAATAGTTTTAGAATGTAAAGTATAATTTTCATTACTTTGAACTCAAAACATGTGCTAGATTGCTAGGTAGTTTATGTTGCATCTGACAACCTTATTATCAGATAATTAAGTTTGATCAATTATCATGGAGAGAGAGAGAGAGAGAGATGGATGGAGAGAGAGCACATGATTTACTCAAAACCCACACAATCATTGAACCCGCACAAATTGATTATTCAATTATATCCATCCCATTTCTCATAATCTAGATGGTAGTTGCCTGTCAAAGTCAAGAAACTACCCATTTTTTTCTCCCCAAAGTCATGGAAGAACCCAACCAATCTTTCATTGAGCAAACTGAATAGGAAAAATAATAAGGGAGCAAGATTGAGAAAAATGGAACATTCTAGAATGATTACATGTAGATGAGATCTTCTTCTTTAAGTATCTGCCCAATGGCACTGAATAACATGTCAAAGGTATTTGCTTATAATCTCCAAGAATATTTACATGTAGGTGAGACCTTCTTCATCGAGCCATAAATCTTGTACCACATGAACTAAAATGGTTCTGATGAGAAAGTCAAACATTCCGATACGATCAAGTCTTCTTCATTAAGCCATCTACCTCCTAAGAAGAGTTATGACGACTTTGGTTAAAAAAAGTCAAAGAGATAAAACTACAGCTTTCTAGAAGTTTTAGATAGGGATGAGGTCTTCCTAGTAGTAGACCCAAGGATTTTTCACAAATAAATTATGACAGCTGTCATGAACAAGTCAAACGGTCATGAAGGGTGTGTGTGCATGTTTGTTTGACTTGGACGTCTTCCTCGTCCTCTTCTTAACCTTTTTTTCCTTGAATTTAAAAGCTGGCTTCTTTCAGGGGCAAAACTATGTTTCCCATGCACGTAAACTTTCTTTTTATTCTTCTTGCTACAATATATATATATATATATATATCTATAGAGAGAGAGAGTGAGAGAGAGAGAGAGAGGTGATAACTATCTTTGTTTATTACGGACAGAGAGAATTGGAAGCGGTCAAGTGGAGGCGGCGGCCTAAAGTAGGCAGAAACAAGAGGCTGAGATGGGACTGCACCAGGTTCCCATATCCTGAGGTTTCGGAAACGCACGTTGACAAATCTGTCCCCCCTACTGCCGTCGGTTCATTTGCGGCCGTGGCCACGTGTGCGCCAATCAGTCAGCGGCAGTTTAACTGTCTGCCCGTCCCTTCCTTTTCACACGCCGGACTTTCTGATCCCCCCTAGTTGATTGGAATACACAGAAGTCGAGGAGAATATTACGTTTCAACCTCCAAATTATGCATTATATGTCTTCAATCCTTCAGAACTATGTAAAAGAGTTATCATAATGAGTAAATAACAAGTGATAAAAAAAGAAAAGTTAGGGGGTGTTTTTAATCATGCGTTCTTACTATGGATTCTACTCTAGAAGTTCACTTGAAAGATTAGAAATAAGCCCCGTCACTCCATGAATATCTCATACAATTCTGATGACAACATAAAATAAATAATATTAACAAAAATAATCATAAAGATAGCATGATTAAAATTTGGAAAATGGGCTTTGACTTAAGAAACAGTATTCCATTGCGTGATTATGATGCTCACAATGCCAATAAATAACATGATGAAAAGTTTTATAAATAGACCCACATTTTTGTTTGAAGAGTTTTCTGCAAAAGACAAAACTTTCAAAAAATGAGGATAAGTTAAAAAAATAGTTTCACATATTTGCTCAAAGAAATGTATTCATATGAGCATAAGTATATAAATACACATAAATATGAAAATGATGATAACAAGAATAATCGATATATAGGATATCCAAGGGTTATGGAAGCATCTCTCACTCTAGGTCGAACCCATTCGTACCAATAATAATGAACGGATTTAGAAAAATAATCTTAGGCTTGGTTTGCCCATGCATATAACTATGGTATCCCTCATATTGATGTTATCAGATTTTGAAGCCATAGTGTGATTGGGAAAATGAAGCAAAAAGTCATGCAACTCCATGTCATCCCATTGTCGACAAAGTGTTATCAACAAACATTATTTGCACTTTTTTTATATATTTGCTAATAAATCATTTGATGGTGAGCATGCAAGCAATTTCTAATGAAATAAACAATAAAAGCTATTTTACTATTATCCATTTATTGGGTGTAGAATATTTATCATCAAACTTTCTTGATCATATTGTGATCTATTTTTATGATCAAATTCTCAAAATGGTTTATAAATAGGCATCATCGACACTATTCTTTTGGAGATTTATTCTTCTAAATTATAGGTTATTTTTTAAAAAAGATAACTATGTTCATCAAAATTTTCACACATGAATGCATTAATGGGACAAAGAAATACATAGAGATAGCGAGGGAGAGAGAGAGAGCATTAAATTTACTAATTTTAAATTGAAAACCGTTTGGTGCACCCCAAGAGATATAAAATTGCTCATTACACGTCATCATTGAAGTGATCAAAAACCCATCAGCTATTCAGCCGTATGATATCGTCAGCCCATGGAGAAAGAATAATATTTAAATCGTTTAATTAATTAGAAACATACGTGATGAATTGATGGGTTCGGAAATTTTAACCTTGAAAGGAGGGCGCTAAGCGCGCGCAGATCCTCTTTGACTGCTGCAGGCTCTTTTCCTATTTTCCCTAAAGGCTCGGCTCGTGCGGCTAACAGAGAAGACGGCGGCGACGGCGCGGGGCGGCGGAGGGGATGTTGGGGTTTTGGGTGTTATTCTGGAATGACTTCTGAAATGAGAATGCATTATGGTCCGGTCAATTCCAGCTGCGAGGCTCCTTCCATGTCTTGTCCTCGTCCTCTACCTCTCCTTCCTCCCCACCTTCCCTCCTCCTCTCTTCTGGTATAAATCCTCCCTCCCTCTCTCTCTCTCTCTCTCCCCCTCGTGCCGCCTCTCCGCCACCGGAGATCTCCATCCCCGGAGAAAGAATAGATAGAGAAAGAGAGAGAGAGAGAGAGAGAGGAGGGGAATGGAGGTGATGGTGCCGGTGGCGGCGGAGTTCCATGCGGACAGTACGTCGTCGACGCCATACGCAAGCGCTCCGACGAGCCCGCGGCGGGGCGGTGAGTGGTCGGGGCGGTACTACACAAGCGCTCCGGCGAGCCCTTCTCGCGCCGCCGCCATCTTCCGGGAGTTCAACGCCGCCATGGGAAGCCCTCGGCTAGCTTCAAGGTCTTCCGTCATCCCCTTCGAGTGGGAGGAAACCCCTGGCACGCCGAAATCGCAGCAGACGGCGGCGGAGGAGGAGGATGAGGACGTTGATTTCGCGTTCGACTTCAGCGGGCAGCTCGATATGGGCGGGTCGTCGCCGTTGACCGCCGACGAGCTCTTCGAGAAGGGGATGATCCGCCCCCTGAAGCTGCCCCCTCGGCTGCAGTACGTGCCGCCGCCGCCGGCAGTCAACGGTGAGAAGAGCCCGGGTATATCTCCGAGGTCGCCCAGGTCTCCGAGGTCGCCGGCGATGAGGTTCCGGCGTTCGCCGCGGCGGTGGGGGACGCAGGAGGACTTTGACCCATTCACCGCTGCCATCGAGGAGACCACCAGAGGACGCGACCGCGCCGGCGACGATAATACCGGGCGGCGGAGCCGCCGCGCCGCTAGATCTCTGTCCCCTCTCCGGCGGGTCTTCGACTTCAACAGCAAGCCGGCGGCGGCCGCCGCCGGCCACGCTCCGGCGACCGCGGTATCCACCTCGGCGGCGGCGGCGGCGATGAGGTGGATGAAGGGCGGCGGCACCATGAAGTGGCGGCTAAAGGACCTCCTCCTCTTCCGGAGCGCCTCCGAGGGGCGGGCCACCGGCGGCGCCGCCGACAAGGACCCCCTGAGGAAGTACACGGCGCTGTCGCCGTCGTCAGCAGCGATGCTCTCCCGGAAGGGCAGCGCCGCCTCCGCCGCCTCCACCGCCTCCATCGCCTCCATCTCCCCCTCCGCTTCCGCGGGCGAGGAGGTCAGGAACTCGAGCTTCCGCTCCACAGACGGCGGCGGCTCGGTAGGGGGCAGTTCGAGAAGGGGAGCATCTGCGCACGAGCGACACTACGCCGCCAACCGTGCGGCGAAGGAGGAGATGAGGAGGAAGACGATGCTCCCTTACCGCCAGGGACTCTTCAGCTGCCTCGGATTCAACCCCGCCATCAACGGCGTCGCGAAGGGCTTCTCCGCCTTCCGCACCCGCCCATGAAGAACCTCATCTTCTCCCCCCTCCCTGGTTCTTGGTGATCTACAAAGATTTGTCTCTAAATCCATGTGTAAGTAGTCAGTCAGGGATGATCATCATCTGGCCTCAAAGCAATTTTCTTTTTTCAATCAATCTTTGGTCTCATTTCTTCAGTTCAATATGCTTCATTCATGAACATTGAATCATAGGCTCCCCAAGAGTCAGCCTACAGTTCTAAACTCGTGTAAGTAGTGAGGGGTGATGATCATCATCTGGCCACAATTTTTTATTTTTTTTTCAATCAATCTTTGGTTTCATTTCTTCAATCCAAGATGCTTCATGATCATTGAATCAGTCCCCCCAAGAGCGAGCCTATAATTCTACATTCATTCGTAAGTAGTGAGGGATGATGAACATCATCCGGCCTAATTTTTTTTTTTTTCAATCTTTGGTCTCATTTCTTCAATTCAATATTCTTCATGATCATTGAATTCTAGTCCCCACATCGTTTTCTGATTTTAAAAAAAGAAAAGATCAGGAATTTATATATTTTTTATAGAGGTTTTTGGATGTGAGGACTAAATGGTAATATTACCAAGTAGCGTCGGGGAGACAGTGGAGGGTATTGTAATTATTAGATGGATTTTTGAAGGATCGTGTTTGATTTGGCCGGCGGCTCGGCGCCGGGAATTTCTCTCCGGCGGCTGAGTCAACGATGGCGGCTCTCCGGGGCAACACCGGCGGCGGTTTGAATGGTGCGGACCCGCAACTGTCGGGGGGTACGACGTCCGTTGATGGGGCTGTTGGTGGCCGCAGATCGACGGCTGAGATCTTTTCCTGAGAGTGGCGGGGGTGAAGAAGTCCACCTGGTAGGCTGGCAGGTCAAGCCATGCATCGCATTAAAGGAAAAGAGGAGAGAGAAAGTGGTGGATAGATGGATGCCACAATCGTAAATGGCTAGGGAGAGAGAGAGAGAATTAAGAGGGGAAGGTGCTAAATCGCTAGAGAGAGAATTATAGGCGGTAGAAAAAATGAGAGAGTGGCGGCAGCTATTGTCTTTGGTCTCGGGGTAGGGGAGAAGCCTAAGATGCGAAAAATGTGTCATATGGGTAGAGAGAGAGAGAACCGCACGCTCTAGTAGATGACATGATAGTAAGATAGTATGGAAGGAGGTTCAAATTAGAGTGTAACATCTCTTGCCGGAGAGAGAATTGTCGGCAGCCGATAAAATGATGAGAGAGAGAGAGTGAGGATATCTAGAGACTTGTCTTACATGGCTAGAGAGAGAATCGTGGAAGGTACATGAAATGATGCTGCAGCCGACAAATATATCCTACGAGAGAAATTAGAGAGAGAGAGAGAGAGAGAGAGAATCTTGTATTATAGAAAACACGCGTAGTCATTGGACAGAAAGCTAAAGAGAGAAAGGCTCTAAAAAGTAAGAATGTTCATAGAGAGAGAGTGTGATGGCGAGTCCGGCTGCTAGATCGAAAGGTACGTAACATTTGTTCATAGGAAGAGAGAGAGAGAGAGAGAGAGAGAGAGAGAGAGAGAGAGAGAGAGAGAGAGAGAGAGAGAGAGAGAGAGAGAGAGAGAGAGAGAGGCCAAGAAGACTGAGCTTTAAGGGGTCTCCAACCGTCCCCCTCTGGAGCTCACTTTCCGGCCCAACCCGGAAAAAAATTGGGCTCATCCGGGGCCCACATGGTCCGCTATCATTGCAAAGGACATCACTTAAAACGAGCCAAATATGGACACATGTTTTAGTAGGACCCACAAACTGGCCTGGCGTTCTATGGAGCTACTTGGCCCGACCCACCTCCCCCCTCGCTAGACCCATTAAAGAACCCTCTACAGACTTACTTCATTAGCTACCTTAATCATCGAAAAATAATTAAAATGTTCAATATACTTTATTTTTCATAAACATACTTTATTTTTCATAAATATGCTATGTTCTCCTAAAATTACAGGATCAAAGCATTTTTTATCATAGTATTTTTGTAAGATATCGGGTGTCATATTTCATTAAAGTTGAGAGTTTTTTCCCCATTCACAACTTTGTTTGGGTCCTATTTCTAAATCAGATTTACACATCTACCCTCACTCTAAAGCCAGACTCGGATAAAGAGGTTAGCATGGGCTCTTGCAAGGTCTTTCTTTAAAAATCATAATAAATCATCTTCTTTCTTTTTATGAATAAACCCTGACTATTCTTCAACGGTTACGCCCAAATTGGAAATACACATTTATTGAGGGTTTATTGATAAAAAACCCATATCTTAATGACGTACGGAAATCCCATTTTCTTTGCCCCCCCCCGATATTTGACTGTGCGTGGACGGCGTGAGAGTTGGGCGCAAGCGGGGTCCACCCCCTCAACATGCATTTGACCACGGTCCTAGAGGGCTGCGGTCAAACATCTCTATCCGGGCTTGTCCAAATAATAACGAAAAGAAAGAAAGAAAAGAAAAACCCCAACTTTGACGGCACCCACCGGAGAGGGACCACGTGGTGACTGCACGTGAGCGCCCTCCCTTCAAATCGTTGCCGGAGAGATAACCCGTCATCTTCCGACATCAATCGATGAGGTGGTTGAGTCAAACCGAGAGAGAGAGAGAGAGAGAGAGAGAGAGAGCTGTCAATGAGGGTAGGTGAGGGATAATAGACTTTACTCTCGCCAGCTAAAGTTTATTAAAGCCTGGACCTGACCGACCCAAGTGAACGTTCTTCCTCTGTCTCAACTTTAGGGGCCCAAATTTGGCAAATTCTGCCAGGGCCGAGCTTTGCTGGTTTGGACAAGAGACCCAATAATCCTAAAAAAGGCTCAATAAAATGATACACAGAACTGGCGGCCTTCCCTCCCGATTTTGTAACATCATGTCATGTTCATGCTTTTCCATTAATTGTCAATGTGGTATTGCATAAATGTCACAGTACAGAAAAAAAAACGAAATTTCTATAGTAATCATGTCTAAACTAGGGAAAAAGAGATGATCCTTTGAAGCTGATCCATGTAAACATGTTAAAAACTAGATTGACTCCTTTAGCTGGTCCTAACTTGTTTAGTGATCTGACAATTTCAAGGGCCAAGTTAAAAAAAAAGTCATCCAAACTAAGTTTGAAAAGTTGAAATTTTGTCTTAAACCCAACTAAAAATATCTACATGGGTTTGCAGACATTCATGACTCAGCATTGACATCCTAAGGACCCTAAAGTTGAAAGGAACTCCTAATGCATGAGCAATCATTATTTTGATCAACTCTTGGGCAGCATAATTTTATTTCAAAGGAGTTACTACAAGGACTACAACTACCTATCAAAAATAAAATGGAATATGAGGTAGCTCTCGAAGATGGAATAACATTAAAGTGAAGTGGCATTTGTATGGGGGTTTATCTTGATATCCAAGACTTTCAAATCACCAAAAGTTCCTCCTCAAGATCCAAATTGATCTATCGTCCTTGATGTCAAGTGGTTGGTTACACAGATTTATTAAGGATTACTAATCATGAAGTTTAAAATTAAAGGGAAAAGGTTGACATTGAAAGAGGATGTGGTAGTGGTAGTACATGTTTGTTTCTTAAAACTATTCTTCTGAAAATGAGCAACTCACTAGACATGTATGTAGTAGTGGAACTAGGACAGAACAAAAAGGGAGACATTATTTCTAATCTATGACCTGACTCCCAAGGGGCAGTGCAAATAGCTAATGTTGGGAGTGGAGATGATAGCATTCAAAATAGCATATTAAAATAGTACTAGGAGCACGTATGATTAACACTTACTATTCTAGAAGACCACCATCTACACATCAACAACAAGAAGTGTCTTTTTTTCCTGCCATAACATAAAATTTATAAGATGTGTGGTCTTGATAGAAGGGGTCAAAGCTGATGAAAGAAAGTCAAAAGCAATGAACCAATGGTTGTCACCTCAGAACATCAAGTAACTCAAGGATTTTTAGGACATTATTTTGTTTTTTTAAAAACTTTCATAGAAGCACAAAGTTTACACCATTTTGGGATGCTTTTCTCTAGCTACAACATGCTTTCAACTTAGAGATATTTTACCCAAATATATATTCATGTTACACTTTAGACATTCATGGTTCCCAATTTCTTTTTCTATTGGAGATTACTGATGTCATGCTGGAGCCATTTTTTGTCAATAATGCGGCTATCTCACACTTTCTTATACCTACTTTGTGATCTATATTCTTATTCGATGACTTCATCTTGATAACTCTTGGTAAGTAATCCTTTAGCAAGGAAGTGGTTTGCCCCTCATAGGATCTGATCCACTCATAGCTTTTAGTTCCATAGTTGTAGTCAACGTTATAACATTTTTACTAACTTCTATATTGCTCCTAATTCACTTTCTTTTGTACCTACATCATCAAAGTTCTTTTCTACATGTGTATTAATGTTAGCTATTCTCACAAAAATCAAATACAATCATAATTAGTTTTTACTACAATTGAGGACTCTATTATTAAGCTTCACCACATTGTTCTCATCCTTCTCCTTAGTTTTTTTTCTCCTCTTCTTCATCTTGAGTGTTCCCAAATCTCATTTGAGGAGTTTATCTCCATCTCACATAAGACAATCCTTCTTTCTCTGATTTGGGTATTCCTCTAACCACCCTTGGAAGCTCTTGGGTGCTCCAATATTCTTTTTGGGTTTTCTACAATACTCCATGATTAGATAAATAATCTGCTAGTGAGTTACTTTCTCTAAATTAGTGATCAATGTGATGGATTCAGTTGTATTTTGTTCATGAGTAAATGCCACCATCTTACAAGCTTCAATTGCCTGCACTTTATTTGTTTCACCATGTTGACTAGGACCTTTGAATTCATCTCTATTAAAATCTGTATGATATTAAGTTTTTTGCAAAGAAGGAGGTTGTCTTCTAGTGCCATGCATTCAACTTCCATATTAGCAGTAGTATTATAAAAATTACAATGAACTATTATCATATTACCCTTATCATCTTGGATTATTCCACAACCTCTAGCCCTCCCT